GAACTCGAATCCGGCGTGCGTGACGAGCGGCCCGCCCTCGTCCACAGCGTTCCGAAGAGCCCTCGCGGGGGCGAGGAAAGGCGTTAACGCTCTGACGCGTCTGCTCCGACGCCTCGTCCTCGCGCCCGCGAAGGCAATTCGGAACGCCGTGGACGAGGGCGGGCCGCTCGTCACGCACGCCGGATTCGCGTTCGCGTGTCTCGCGCTGCAGCGGGCGATGCGCGCGAACGCGCCGGGAGGGCTTCTGGAGAAGGGGGTCTCGCCGATCGCTCGGACGCTTCGTTTCAACTTATGAACGACGAGCGAGCGTTTCGTTTCGTTTCGTTTTAATCGCGAAGACGATACAGAAGCATGTGTACATCGCGCGCGCTGAATCACGCGTGCGGTATCACAAACATTCCGTGCGTGGTGTGTATTAACAAAATAAGCCGCGAGGCGGCGACTGAAGAACCTTTCTCGGCTCCCTCGTCCCTCCGTCGGCATCAGATCACATCTCCCCGCGCTCCATGGCAGCCTCGAACTCCCTCTCCGCGCGCTCGTCCTCCGCGCGCATCGCCTCCGCCTCCGCGCACATGCGCTGGATCTCCTCCGGCGAGAGACGTCCGCGGTCGTGCTGAAGCTTCACCTCCGCGTTGGCTCCCGTCTCGCGGTCTCGCGCCGTCACCGTGAGCAAACCGTTCGTGTTCACCTCGAACTGCACGTCAATCTTGGGCTCGCCCTTCTTCGCGCGCTCCACGCCCGTGATCTGGAACTCTCCGAGGAGATGGTTCCCGTCGCAGTTGCTCCGCTCGCCCTCGAAGATGCGGACGTCGATCTCGTCCTGGTAGTCGTACACGGTGGTGAACTCGGACTTTTTCTTGCACGGCACCGGGGTGTTGCGCGGGACAACCTTCGCGAACTGCTTGCCCTCGCACTCGACGCCGAGCGACAGCGGGATGACGTCGACGAGGAGGAGGTTCGACGTCGCCGCGTCGCGCGCGCCGGAGAGAATCGCGCCCTGCACCGCGGCGCCGAACGCGACCGCCTCGTCCGGGTGCACGGACTTGCAGAGCGACTTGCCGTCGAAGAAATCGCTGAGGATCTGCTGGACGCGGGGAACGCGGGTGGACCCTCCGACGAGCACGATCTCGTCCACGGCTTCCTTCTTGATGGAAGCGTCCGCGAGGACGCGCTTGACGCTGTCGACGCAGCGCTGGAACAGCGGCTCGCACACCTTCTCGAACCTCGCGCGCGTGTACGGCATCGCGATCTCGTGCTCGCCCACGAAGCACTCCACGGTGGCGCCCGTGGAGGAAGAAAGCATACGCTTGGCGCGCTCGCACGCCGTGCGAAGCTTCCGCTGCGCCTTGTCGTCGCCGGTGAAGATATCAGCGCCCGCCTTCTTCTTGTGCTGCGCGGCGACGTCCTCCGCGAGCGCGGAGTCGAAGTCCTCGCCGCCGAGGTGCGTGTCGCCCGCGGTGGCGAGCTGGCGGCGTCGGGGTGGAGTTGAAAGGCGTCAGTTGGCGTTGAAAGGCGTCGAGGACGGGGATTGAAAGCGAGGGGTGGGCGGAGGGAGACGCCGGGCAAAGTCCTTAAGAAACGGCGTTCACCACGCGAACGCGGTCGTATGGGGACCAGTGTACAGAACGCACCACGGTGAAGACGCCGTCCTCAATCTTGAGAAGCGACACGTCGAAGGTGCCGCCGCCGAGGTCAAAGACGAGGATGGTTTGCTCCTTAGGCTTGCCGCCCTCGCCCTCGCCGCCCTCGGTGTTGTTCTTGTCGAGGCCGTACGCGAGCGCGGCGGCGGTGGGCTCGTTGATGATGCGAAGCACGTCGAGGCCGGCGATGGCGCCCGCGTCTTTGGTTTGGCGGCGCTGCGCGTCGTTGAAGTACGCCGGGACGGTGATGACCGCCTTCTTGATCGGGCACCCGAGGGCGACCTCCGCGGTCTTCTTCATCTTCTCCAGAACCATCGCGGAGATTTGCTCGGGGGTGAACGTCTTCATCTCCTCGTCCACCTCCACCTCGATGAGCGGCTTGCCGCCGTCGCCCTCCTTCACGGTGAAAGGGAAGAGCTTAAGCTCCTCGCCGCACTCGCTGAACTGCCGGCCGATGATGCGCTTGACGTTGAAGAGCGTGCGCTTGGTGTTCTGCGCGGCTTGACGCTTGGCGGCGTCGCCGACGACGCGGCCATCGTCGGTGAAGGCGACCCAGGAGGGCGTCGTGCGATCGCCTGAGTGATTTGATTGGTCGAGGGAGGACAACACGTGTCAGTCGCGAGGGGGTATGATTGGCTGATATGTTGCTGATGCCACGTGTCAAAACGAACGTAAGGTTCACAGCACAGCGCGCGAAACGAAAGAAGTCCTTAAGGAATGGCGTTCGACGCGCAAACGGGGTCGTACGGGAAGCAGTCATCAGAGTCATCAGTCTCACCCTCGCTGTTGGCGAGCACCTGCGCCTCGCCGTCTTTCCACACGGAGACGCACGAGTACGTCGTCCCGAGGTCGATGCCGATGACGTAACGGTCCGTGGGGTCCATGCTCATGTGCTCCAGGTCCGCCGCCGCGCGGTCCGCGGCGAGCTTCTCGCGCTTCGCCTTGGCGGCTTTCACCTCGGCGAGGCCGTCGTCGCACTGAACGTTGTTGGGGTCCACGGCGAGGCCGCCGGCGAACGCCTGAGTTGATTGTCGGGTGGTGATTGGCGGAGGGAGTGACACGTGTCAGTTATGGTGTAGTTTGAATATGACACGTGTACAAAAGATACGGAACGAGTGGTCGAGAGAGAGACAGTCGTGCGTACCTTTTGCGCGCCGTCGAGATCGTTCCTCTTGAACAGCGCCGTCCCCAGCCGCGAGTACCCTTTCCCCCACTCCGGCTTGAGCTCGATGCATCGCTCCGCGTCGCTCACCGCGGCGGATAGCTTCCCCACGGACGCGTAGCACGCGCTGCGGTTGGAGTAGAAGATGTGGTCCGTCGGGTCCGCCTCGATCGCGGCGCTGAAGTGCTTCGCGGCGTCGTCGTAGTTGCCCGCGACGAAGTCTTTGTTTCCGAGGTCCTTGTGTCCCGCCGCCTCTTTGCGCGCCTCGGGGGTGACCTGGCGAGAGGGCGGGCGGGAGGGGCGAGCGCGCGGCGGAGGGGATGGCGCGCGTGGAGGGGGAAGAGGGCGTCAGAGGCGGGAGAGAAAGTCCTTAAGGATCGGCGTTCACCACGCCAACGCGGTCGTATGGGGACCAGTGTGAGGTGCGCGGCGGAGGAGGGAGGAGGAGGAGGAGGACGAAGTCCTTAAGGAACGGCGTTCACCACGCGAACGCGGTCGTATGGGAACCAGTCACGAGGAGGAGGAGGAGGCGCGACCGCGATCGATCGATCGATCGTTCGCGCGGGAGATTCGATTCGCCGCTGCGTGTGAGAAAAGGCGGCGCGCGATGCGCGCGGATGTGCGTTTCCGCGATCGCGCGCGAAGCGCCGCCGGGGGGGGGCGACGCGTCGCGAGGGACGCACGTCGGACTTGATGGGCTTCTTGCCCTTGCGCTTGGGAGGCATTTTTACGGCGAGCGAGCGCGGAGAGGAAGAACGGCGGCGGCGGTCGTGGACGACGCGCGCGCGGAAGAGAGCGCGCGGACTGGACGACGCTCGAGCGCGCGCGCGCTCGCCGCCGCGGCGGAGCGTTCTCAGCCCATCGTTGCCGGTTTCGTATGCGTTTCAGTCTGATATTTTTACGAGTACGTACTGCGTACGCGCGCGAAAAAAAAACAGGTCATGGCCAACGAACCTGCCGTGCGGCCTCAATCGTCGTCGTCGTCGTCATCACTCGACGCCCGCGCCGGCGCCGCGTCGTCGACGATGCCTCCGAGGCCTCCGATGACCCAGCCCGCGGCGAGACAGACCTACGTGCTCGTCGGCGTCGCGATCGGGCTCGCCCTCGCGGGAGCGCCGCTCGCGTTCAGGAGCGTCAGACAGCGGGAACAGGAGGTGCGGCGACGTCGTGACTGGTTCCCATACGACCGCGTTCGCGTGGTGAACGCCGTTCCTTAAGGACTTCGTCGTCGTCGTCGTCGTCGTCGTCGTCGTCGTGACTGGTTCCCATACGACCGCGTTCGCGTGGTGAACGCCGTTCCTTAAGGACTTCGTCGGCCGAGCGATGACGCGATGGGATGAAATGATCTCATCTCTCTCTCCCTCTCGCGCTTCCTTCCTTCCTCCTCTCACTCGCCTCCCTTCGCCTTCCCTCTCCTCTCCGCTCAGGTGGCGAACACGCGCGACGCGTACTACGCCGGGGAGACGAAAGACGCCGCGCGATCCGCGCGATTGTCCCCGCAGAGGAAGAAGAACTGACGACGGACGCCCGCGGACGACGGTGGACGCGACGGACGGACGGACGGACGGATGCAGTGGTTTCTTTTAATTTAGCAGAGAGGGCGTCGTTATCGACGACGATGAATGAATGCGCGTAGTCGCCACGTCGTATTACATGATGCGATGAATCGTTCATCGTCCTCCACCCTCCCTCCGCGATCGACGAAGAGCGCCCGCCGCGCCGTTCGTCGTCGTCGCGTCGCGTCGCGTCGCGTCGCGTCGACTCCTTCTGCGGCGGGCGCCCCCCCCGCCGAACGTCGTCGCCGTCCATCCGACCAACCATCCGTATTCACGCCCGGTGCACCAACTGATGTAACACCTCCTTGACGTACTTCAACCGCCTCAAGAGCTCCGGGTCCGCGGGCAGCTTCGCGAGCGCGTGCGTCCCTCGCGCGCCGCTCTTGCTCGTGAACACCGTCGCCGCCGCCTCGCTCGACAGCAGCACCTCGCTGCCGTCCTGAAAGTTTACCTGAATCGTTCTGTTGGACAGCCGAAACAAGATGGCGTGCTTCGTCCGCAGCCAGTTCTTGACGTGCGGCAGGTACGGCGTCTTCGACGCGCGCGCGATCGAAGAGGAATTCGCCACGTCCGGCGCGTACGACGCCCTCGCGACCGCCTCGGCAGCCTTCTCGACGTCCGCCGCGAATTTCGCGGCGGTTTTCGTCGCTTTCGCGGCGCCGGCGTGGACGCCGCCGCCGCCGACGACGGGACCCAGCCCGCCGCCGCTCTTCTCTACCGCGCTCCGTCCGTCCTGCGGTGAATGTCGTGGAAGGTGGGTTGAAAGGCGTCAGTGGTGGAGTTGAAAGGCGTTGAGGTGTGTGTGTCGGGATTGAAACCATCGAGGGACCCTGGGCGGCGGAGAGAAACATACAGTACGCCGGGAGAGAAACGAGTCCTCAAGGAACGGCGAGCGCCGCGCCGACGCGGTCGCACGGGGACCGGCGTAAACAACAGAACGCGCCTGCGTGAGGTACCCGCGGAAGTGCCGCATAAGCTTGACCTTCTTCTCGAGGCCTTCCGGGAGGGATGGAGATGACGTGGCGGCTGACGTGGCGGCTGACGTGGCGGCGGAGATTTCCCGCGCGCTAAACACAGACGGCGGCGGCGACGGCGCCTTGCCTCCTCTTCGCGCCCTCTCCCGGTACTCCAACCGGTCGCCGCCGCCGCTCGCGGCGTTCGCGACGTTCGCCTTCTCCACGTCCACGTCAGTAGCATTAGTTGCCACGTCACCGCCATCCGTCCAGGTGTCGTCCGGTGATTGGACCATCTTCGTCGCGTCGTTGAACATCACCCCGAACGTGCCGTCGGAGAGGACGTACCCGAGCCCGTATTTGGACGTGTAGTCGACCCACCGCGTGACCCACAGCGGCGGAAAGCTGTCGATGGGCACCGCCACGTCAGCGTCAGCCGCCGCCACGTCAGCTCCAGATCCCCCAGATCTGGCGGATGTCGTCGCCGCGGCCGCGTCGCTGACGCTAAAAACGCTCGCGGTGGGTGCGTTTACGCGCGCCCGCGGGATCCCCGCGGCCGCCGGGGAGGAGACGTCAAAGTCCGCCGCGGCGACGCCCGCCGAGGAGGACGCGGCGGCGGCGGCGGCGGCGTCGCTCAGCTTCGCGGCGTCCAATCGCTCGGTGACCCTCTCGACGACGTCATCGACGACGGTCTCCTTCGCTTTTTTCGTATCGTCGTCGTTCGCGGTAACGGCCGCCGCGGGACGGTTACGGTTAGGGCTCGCCGGCGTCCGCGTCTCGGGTCCTGGGGAGCTCCAGCGACTGCCGTCGTCCGCGCCCGCGGCGCTCGCGTCCGCGACCCACGCGTCCGCCTCCGCGTCGGACACATTCTCCGACACAATATTCTCCGATACTGTATTCTCCGACACACACGTCGCGATCGCGGCCGCCGCGCGCGCCGCCGTCGTCGCCGTCTCCGTCGCGGTCTGCGCGGCGACCCGGCGCGCGCGCTCCGTCTCTCTCGACCGTCGAAGCGCTTCGCGCGACGCCTCCTCCGCGCGTCGAAGCGTCGCCTCTCTCTCCTTCGCCGTCACGATAGCCGACGTGGACGGCGGCGGCGGCGGCGGTTCGACGACGTCGTCGAGGACGGTAAACGCGGGCGCGGCGGCGGCGGCGGCGCCGAGCGGCGACGGGCCCGGGCTGAGGGTCGTTCCATACAAGCGATTGTCGGGGTGGAGTTGAAAGGCGTCAGTTGAAGTTGAAAGGCGCCGCCGGCGGGCGTTGAAAGCGCGGGGTGGGCGGAGAGACACGCCGGCAAAAGTCCTTAAGGATCGGCGTCCACCTCGCGAACGGGGTCGTATGGGGACCAGTGTATAGAACGCACCTGACGCGCGCGCGTCGCCGCGCGTCGTTCGCGTCGGCGTTCGTCGACAGCGGCGACAGCGGCGCGCGCGTCCCCCGCGTCCCCTGGGTCGCTCCCGGAACCACCGCCGCCGCGGAGGCCGCCGCGGCCGCCGCGGAGGCCGCCGCGGCCGCCGCGGCTTTCGGCGACGCCGACGACGCGCGCGGAGGGTCCGTCCGCGGCGGCGACGGTCTCAACGAATTTTCCGCCGCCGCCTTTTCCGCCGCCAGGCTTCTCTTCTTCTCCTCGAACACCGCGTCGTACTTGGTCTTCCGCTCGTCGTCCGCCGCCTTCGCGCGGACCGGCGGCTTCGGCGGCGGCGTCGCTATCTTCCACCCCGCCGCGCCCACCCTCAGCAGCGGATGCGACGCCACCTCCGCGATGCTCGGTCGATCCTCCGGCTTGGGCGCGAGGCACCGGCGAATCAAATCCTGAGGGTCGTCGTTTGATCGGCGGGCGACGTGGCGGGAAGTGATGTGATTGGTTAGATATTTGATGACGTGGACGAGATCTGGGCGGAGAGACGCGCCGGGCAAAGTCCGTCCTTAAGGATCGGCGTGCACCGCGCGGACGCGGTCGTATGGGGACCAGTGTGAGATAGATGGGACGCGCCTTGGCCTCCTCGGGAACGACGGTCCCGCCGCCGCCGTCCTCTCCGACGGATGGAAACTCGTACGCGTTCGCGCGGATCCTCTTGTACGTCGCGTGCACGTCAGAGGTTTGAAACGGCGGCGTTCCCACGAGCAGCGCGTACGCGATCACGCCGATGGACCACACGTCCACCTCGTACGAGTGCCCGGCGCCTTTGCTTCCGGCTAAAACTTCGGGGGCGATGTAATTCGGCGTGCCGCAGATCGTCGTCTTTCGCTGCGCGTCGTCGTCTAACCGACACGCCAGTCCAAAGTCGCCAATCTTCAACCGGCCGCCGCACGTCGCCGCGTCGTCCAGATCCGCGTCCGTCCCCGGCCCGTTGCTTCCCGCCTCGTCCAGCCCAGCGGGGGTGAGGAACAAGTTCCCGAGCTTAGGGCCGTTCCATACGAGCGAACGTCGGGGTGGAGTTGAAAGGCGTCAGATGGAGTTGAAAGGCGTCGATGGCGGGGATTGAAAGCGAGAGGTGGGCGAAGAGAGACGACGCGCAAAGTCCTTAAGGATCGGCGTTCACCACGCCGACGCGGTCGTATGGGGACCAGTGTATAGAACGCGCCTTAAGGTCTCTGTGGATGATTCTCGCGGCGTGCAGGTGCGCGACGGCGGAGACGATCTCTCGCAGATAACACGCCGCCTCCTTCGCGGTCAACTTGCCGCGCTGCTTCACGACGTCCGCGAGCGTCTTGTTGCTGCAGAGTTCCATGAGGATGTACACGTTCGCGGCGTCCTCGAAGCACCGCGCGAATCGCACGACGTGCGCGTTTCGCACCGAACGATGGATGCGAATTTCCGTCAAGATTTTCGCGCGCGCGCGTTCCTTCTCGAGCGTCGTCTTGGCGACAACCTGGCGGGATGAGATCGGTCAGCGCGTGATCAGATGCAATGACGTGGCATATCGCGCGAACTTGGGTAACGAACAACAGATACAGATGCGACAGCAGACGCGAACGAAGAAGTCTGTCTTCTTAAGGAACGGCGCGCGACGCGCGCGCAGGGTCGCGTAATGGGACCGGCGTGAATACAAACGCGCCTTCGCGGCGAAGGACTCCCCCGTGCTCGGGTCTTGCATCGAGTACACGACGGCGAAGCCGCCCTTACCGAGCGGTCGCCCTCGGACGTACGACCGCTTCTTCTGGTCGCCGGTTTTCTCGTCCTTGTACGTCTCCACGACGACGCGGGGGCACTTCACCTCTTTCGGACGGTCTCTGTTCAACGCGGGAGGACGCGAGAAGAGAACGAACGGAGCGAGGCGAACGCGCGGGATCGCGGCGCGGCGATGGCGGAGGGCGGGGGGAGACGTCGTCAGCGATGGACGGCCGGCGTCGAGGCGCCGTCGAGAGAAAGGCGTGGGGATCGACGGGAACGACGTCGCGACGGCGTTCGATGGACGGCGCGGAGCGAGAGATGGGGAACGGAGGGCGCGGGGACGCCGCGCTACGGCGAGGGGGTCGAAGCGCGCGGCCGTCCGTCCATCGAACGCCGTCGGAGACGGAAGCGGCGGGGGGCGGCGCGCGCGCACCGTTTCTTCTTCTCCGCGGGCGCGGGCGCGGCGTTCGCGTCGGCAGCCGTCTTCGTCTTCGCCGGCGCGACGTTCTCTTGGTCCGTCTTCATCGCGCGCGGCGCGGCGGCGGCCGGCGCGGCCATCGCGCGCGCGCGCTCGATCTCGGCACGACTTTTCCGCGCAGCTGTCGCGTCGCGTTTCGGATCCGCGCCGACCACGACGCGACGCGACGACGACGGCGGCGGCGGTGCCCGCGGCGCTCGCGCGCGTATCGCGCTCGCGACAGTCTCTGCGCGCGCTCGGAAAGGGAGACGCGTGCGACCGATTCGCGCGCGGCGGCGACGCGCGCGCGGGACGGAGTGCCGGAGCCTCGGACGCGCCGAGAGGGGTACCGCGCGCGACCGCGGACGGAGTTTACGACAACAGGCGCGATCGACGCGCGCGAAAAACGCGAAATCCGAACGGTCGATTAATTTCGCAACAGAATGTATTAAAAGTTGAAGAGTCAGTCATCGCATCCGTCGCCGACCCTCCGCCTCCTCACGCCGCGACCGCCGGCTCGGGCGGCGGCGGATCGTTCACCCTCGGGTCGCTCAGCATCCCCAAACTCGGGCGGTTGTCCGGCGGACCCGGCCGCGTGACCCCGCGCGTCTCCAGCTCCGCCTTCCACGGAGAGCCGACGCCGCCGCGCCGCGCGGAGTCGTCGCGGCCGCCGCCTGCGTTCGTTTTGATTGGTCGAGGGAAGACACGTGTCAGTTATAAGTACTTTTGATTGGTGTATATCGTTGCCACGCGTCAAAACAAACGTGCGGTTCCGAACGCGCGAGAGAACAGAACGCCCGCCTTAAGAACACTTAAGCGTTCAGCACGCGAACGGGAGCGTACGGGAAGCGTTCTCGCCTGCGGCGGCGAACGGCGGCGGCTTATTCTCCCCCGCCAGCACCCTCTGCGACGGCCGGTGCTCAGGCTTCTGCCGATGCTTCCCCTCGTGTTTATGCGTGTTTGCCCCCGGCGGGTCCGCGCCGGGCTGCCCGTAGTCGATCCCCGGCTCGCTCGCCTCGATCGCGGGTAAGCCCTCGCGGTGCCAGTGGCCGCCGCGCTCGAGCCTCGCGTAGCCGCTCGGTCGACGCCTGTGGGGTGAAGCGATCGGTCAGTCGAACGTCTTACCGGTCAAACGTACGTTGAAAGGGAAGCGCGGGTGAAGAGTGACGACGGGAAAAGTCCTTAAGGAACGGCGTGCACCACGCGAACGGGGTCGTATGGCAAGCAGTCTCACCTCGCGTCGTGCGCGAAATACCCGCTCTTCGCGCCAATCTTCGGATCGCTCGGCGCCGGGAGCGCGCGCTTCGCCGCGTCCGATGCCGCGCGCGCCTCCGCGGTGGGGTTCGGATCGTCCGGTTCGGTCCACCCCCAGCCCGTCTCCCGGACGCCGCTGTCGGGTCGCCCCGCGATCGGGTTCTGAGGGTCGAGGGTCCATCGTTCAAAGGCGTCAGAAGCGGAGTTGAAAGGCGTCGAGGGCGGGTATTGAAAGAAGCGAGGGACCCTGGTGGGCGGAGAGATGCGCCGCCGGGAGATGATAAAGTCCTCAAGGATCGGCGTTCACCACGCCGACGGGGTCGTACGGGAACCAAATATGCGAAGAAGAACGCGCCTGGTCCAAGTCGCGGCGCCGCCCGCCGGTGCCGCCGAGCAGCGGCCCGCCCTTGTAATTCGGTCCAAAGTAACTCGCGCGCTCTTGCTTCTCGCGCCACGCCCGGAGCTCCGCCTCGCGCTCTTCAAACGTGAGCGTCTCGCCGAGGTGCGCGTCGACGGCGGCGGAGACGTCGGCGTAGTCGCGATCGTCGCGCGGATACGTCGAAGAAGCCGCGCTCAGAGTCCGCGCCGTCGTCGGGCGGCTTCTTAGTCTCCCGTCCTTGACGCTGAGGGTCGTTCCATACGAGCGAACGTCGGGGTGGAGTTGAAAGGCGTCAGAAGCGGAGTTGAAAGGCGCCGTGGGCGGGGATTGAAAGCGAGGAGTGGGCGGAGAGACACGCCGGCAAAAGTCCTTAAGGATTGGCGTTCACCACGCGAACGGGGTCGTATGGGGACCAGTGTAAGGAGAACGCGCCTGATCGGCTTGGCGCTGATCGGCCGCGACCGCGAGTACCCGGTCGACCCGGGACCGGTCTGTGCCTGGAAGTCCGACGACGCCGCGGTCGAGTACGCGCTCCTCCCGCTCCTCGCGCTGACGCTCCGCATGGACATCGCCCTTTCCTCCGCGCGCGCCGACTCTTTCCGTCCCAGGCTGCCGTGCAGAAGCGCCGCGGACGTCGGCCGCCCCGTCCCGCGCTCGTGCTGCAACACCTTGGAGCTCCCCGTCGTCTTCCCGAACGCGACGGCGACGGCGGCGTTCTCGGATCGCGCCCGCGCGCTCGCGAGGTCGCGCCCGACGCTCACGCCCGCCATGGACTCTCCCAGCGTCTCCGACGTCTCCTCTCTTTCCCGCCGCCGCAAATTCATCAGCGCGAGATGCTGCTCGCTCGCGCGTCGGCGATGCTGACTCAGCTCTTTGTTCGCCCGGTCGTTCTCCTCCTCGAGCGCGCGGATGTACTCGATCGTGGGGTGCGAGGAGAGCTCGCGAAGCGTGCGCTCTTCGATCGCCGCGCGCTCGTCCTCCGCGAGGCTCGCCTTGGTCTCTAAGCCGTCGAAATCGCCGGGCGCGGCGGTGGAGAGCCCGCCCACGCTGTTCCCCGTGCTCTGCAACGACCCGCCGCCGCCCGCGCTCGCGGTGGGTAAATTCATAGTTTCCAGGAACCGCGTCGCCGCGTCGGCTTTGCGCTTTAACACCTCGACGTCCAGAGACCCGGGCTTATCGCGCGCCGGGATCGTCAGCTTCCGTAATCCCCCAATCTCTCGCGCCGGATACGCGCCGCTCTCGACGTTCCCCACGAGCGCGTTTATCGCCAGCGCCCACCGGTGCAGGTACTCGCTCTCGTTGCGCAGCTGCGTCGTCTCGCGCTCCTTGTGTTTCTTGTACGCGTCGACCTCGCGGACGTATTCTCGGAGCTCCTCCTCCTTTCGTCGCAGAAAAAACGCCGACTGCTCCTTCAGGTTGGCGATCTGCTGGTCCTTCGACGCCTCCAACTCGCCGTACGCCCTCGCGCTGTCCCTCCTCCACTTCTCCTTGGAGTCCTCGTGCTGGCGGACGAGCGCCCGCGCCGCTTCCGCGTGCTCCTCCTCGGCGTAGGACGCCAGGTCTCGCCCGGCGTCGCCCGCCGCCGTCGGCACCGCGCCCTGCAACGTCGCGAGCTCGCGGCGCGACCTGACGTGCGCCTCCGCGAGGGCGTCGTGCCGCGCGGCGTGCGCCGCCTCCGCATCCTTCATCGCGGCCGCGTGCCGCGCGTTGGTCTCCGAGAGCGTCTCCTTCACCGCGCTCAGCTCCTTCCTCAGCGCGCGCTTCTCCTCCGCGCACCGCGCTTCGAGGTCCCGGTACCGCGCCTGGAGCGTCTGGATCGTCTCCTGCGCGTCCCCGAGCTCCGCCTCGGACTCGCGCGCGCGCTGCCGCGTCTTTTGCGCCTCGCGCATCATCGCGCGCGCATCCTCCGCGGACGTCGTCGTCGTCGGCGGTACAGCTGGCGCGTTCTCTTTGGCGATGGACGACGCGGAGGAGGAGCGCGACGCCGACGCCGCGGTGTTCGTCGCCCTGTGGACACAGACGGGGAAGGGAGGGGAGGGACGACGGCGGCGGCGTCGGTCAGCGATCTCGTCGCGTCGCTCGCGACGACGACGAATCGATCGCGCATTCATTCCGGAAGCGGCGCCGGCGCGACGGACGACGACCGCGGCGAGAGATCGGGAGGGAGGGACGGACGGACGCGATCGATCGAGGCGGGGACGCGACGCGCACCTCAGCGGCATGACGCGCGCGCGACCGCGCACTCCGCGGGAATCGTAGCGATCGATGTCGCGCGCGGCGCGGCGAGGGGGGTCGGACGCCTCCGCCGCGCGTCGTCGTTGTGCCGGATTCGGGTGTCACGAAACGCGCGGCGTCGGCGTTTCCGTCGATTTTACCCCCCGGTTACCCGGGCTTCGACCGAGGTTTGACCGGGGCTCATCGGGCGCGCGGTCGGCGCATCGTGCGCTCGGCTCGATGAATCGACGCGATCGGCAGTTTCGACGAGTTTATTATGACAACTTCTGTTCGCACGCCGCCACCGCGACCTCACTTCCGTCCGTCCGTCGCGCGCGCGGGCATCGTCTCGTCCGTCCACGCTCGTCATGAAGGTGCGCGTCGAGTCCGCGGCGCTCGCGCGATCGCGCGTCGTCGTCGCGTCGTCGTCGTCGTCGTCGTCGTCGTCCACGCTCGAGATCCATCGAACCCTAAATCTAAAACCATCCATCCGTCCGTCCTTCCGCGCAGACCGTCTCACCGCTCTCTCTCTCCCCCCCCCCACCTCCTCCTCCCGTCCTCCAGGTCCGCTCCGCGCTGAAGAAGATGTGCGAGTCATGCCGGTTCGTGAAGCGCAAGGGGAGGGTCTACGTCGTGTGCGATAAGGTGCCGAAGCACAAGCAGAGGCAAGGGATGTTCACGACGACGGGCGCGGGCGCGTCGTCGTCGTCGTCGTCGTCGTCGACGTGGTCGTCGTGGTCGGCGTGGGGCTGGGGAGAGAAGGGCGCCGCTGGCGTCGCGGCGGGGAGGAGGAGCGTCTTCGCGGGGTTGACGCTCTCGGGGACGTCGCGGTTCGGCTCGCTGCTTCCGCGGATCGCGCGGTAGGTTAGGTCGCGCGCGAATCAGTTCTATAAGTGTAACCCGCTATGATATACGTTGCATTCATCGTCCTCCTAGTAAGATATCCGTTGCTACGTTGAGGTTGTTCCCGCCGCGTTGTAACGCGTCGAGAACGGCCGTTTCGTTGAACCCCATCGCGCAGAGCGTCTCGACGGCGTGCGGCGACGGCAACTCCGTCGACGCCGCCCCCCCGCCGCCGCCCCCGCCCCCGCCGCCGCCGCCGCCGCCGCCGCCGCGTCCGCGTCGCATCCGCACCAGCGGCCTCCCGCCGCTCCCGCCGCCGCCTGGCAGCGCCCCGAGCACGGGACCGATCGTCGCGCGCGTCGTCGCGCTGACCATCTCCGGCGGCCTCAGCGTTCGCCGCAGCGCTCTCCCCGCGCTTAGGGTCGTTCCATACGAGCGATTGTCGGGGTGGAGTTGAAAGGCGTCAGGTGGAGTTGAAAGGCGCCGAGGGCGGGGCTTGAAACCGTGGGGTGGGCGGAGAGAAGCGCCGGGAAAAGTCCTTAAGGAACGGCGTACACCACGCCGACGGGGTCGTATGGGAACCAGTGTATAGAACGCACCTCAGGTCCGACTCGTAGATGGCGCCGAGGGCAAACCCGAACGCCGCGGGCGCCGCGCTCGCCCAACCCGCGGTGACGAACAGCCTGCGATGCGATGTGATCGATGATTGGTCGAGGGAAGACACGTGTCAGTCACGTGCGCATGTGATTGGTGGACAGCATTCCCACGTGTCAAAACGTGAGGTTCACGGCGCGCGAAGGAACGGCGCGGGAGCGCGGGTGGAAAGCGGTCTCATTCATTCAGTTCGTCGCTCACCGCAGCGCGACGACGCACGCGAGCGCCTTGTCGCCGCACACCCGGACGCGCCCGCCGGTGCCCGGCACGCCGACGTGGCGCGCGCACGGGACGGCGCGCAGGAACGACGCGAGGAGCGCGCCGACGACCGCGAACGGCCCCGGCGCCCATCTGGTCTCGTCGTCGCTTAAAGCGCACACTCCGAAGAGTCGACTCGCAACGCCGACGACGCTCGCGAACGCGGCGAGCTTGGCGCTCCCGCGCTGGCGCTCGACGACGCGGAAGTGGTGCAGCAGGAACAGCGCGCACGGGACGCCGCCGAGGACGCCGGCGAGGACGCCGCGGTGCGCGAGGTCATTATTTTGCGCGGTGGCGTTGAACGCGAAGGCGCGCGCGACGCGATCGGCGATCCGCGCCCAACCGCCGGATCCAGTCGTCGTCGTCGTCGTCGTCGCGTAGGACGCCATCGCGGCGGCGTACGTCAGGAACTTCGACACCGGCGCGTTCGCGAAGCCCGCGGGTCCGTACCCCATCGTCCGAGTGGACGGCGCGCGGTGCCGCGGACGCGCGTCGCCGTCCCGCGCGGCGCGCGCGCGAATGGCCGACGTTTCGTCGTCGTCGTCGTCTCTGATGAGTTTCTCCGCTGCCGCGCGTCTTCTCGAGTCCTTCTCGGAAAATAAAATGCGACGTCGGCGCCGCCGCCGGCGCACAACGCGACGCGTCGACGCCTCTCTTCGGTCGTCGCGCGCGATGGCGCCACCGAAGAAACCCGGCGCGAAAGGCGGCGGCGGCGGCGGCGGCGGCGGCGGCGGCGGCGCGCCCCGCGCGCGCAAGCCCGCGATGAAGCGCGGCGGGCGCTCCGCGTCGAAGAAATCTGCGGCGGCGGCGGCGGCTTCCTCGAAACCGAAAGCTCCCGTCGGCCCGCGGCTCGCCAGGGCGCGCGTCGCCAAGGGCGCGGCCGCGGCACACCGCGCGCAGAGCTTCTTCGAGGTGAACGAGGACGACGACGACGTCGGCGGGCGCGTCGCGGCGATGGAGGACGCGTACGGCGACGAGATGGTGGGAGGGTACGACGACCTCCCCGCGGGGTTCGACGACGAAGAGATCGACGAGGACGAGGCGTTCACGGAGGAGGATAGGGCGAGGTACGGGGACATCGCGTTCGAGTCGTTCGGGAAGAGGAAGGGAGGGAAGAGGAAGGGAGGGAAGGGGGGGAAGAGGGGGGGGAAGGGCGGCGAGAGGGCGGAGTTCGACGAAGACGACGAGGACGACGAAGTCCTTAAGGAACGGCGTTCACCACGCGAACGCGGTCGTATGGGGACCAGTCACGACGAGGACGCCTCCGAGGATTGGATGGACGAGGAGGACGAGGAGGACGACGACGCCGCTGACGAAGACGAAGAGGACGAGGGCGTCATGCTGAACAGCGACGAGGACGAGGACGAGGACGAGGACGACGAGGACGAGGACGAGGACGAAGACGAGGACGAGGACGAGGAAGAAGACCCCGGCCCGATGGACGCGGCGGGGAAGGAAGCGGCGATGCGAAAAGCCATGGGCCTCGACGACGACGACGACGACGACGACGACGACGACGACGACGACTCGCTCGAGTCCGAAGAGGAAGGCGACGACGACGAAGAAGACGACGACGACGACGAAGAAGAAGAAGAAGAAGAAGAAGAAGAAGCGGTCGAACTCGACGACGACGACGACGACGAAGCGGCGCACGCGAACCTCCTCGACGACGTCGTCGGAAAGGTGCGTTCTATGCACTGGTCCCCATACGACCCCGTTCGCGTGGTGAACGCCGATCCTTAAGGACTTTTCCCGTCGCATCTCTCCGCCCACCCCTCGCTTTCAATCCCCGCCCTCGGCGTCTTTCAACTCCAACTGACGCCTTTCAACTCCACTCCGCCATCGCTTTGTATGGAACGCCCCTAAGGACCGAACGTCGAGAAGACCGGGGGACGAAACCACCCGGAGGAGAAAGCTCAAACGCGGCATCACGGAAGCGTACGCGGAGGGCGAGTACAACCTCGGCGCGAACGCCGGCACCGGCGGATCCGGATCCGGCGGCGGTCTGTCCATCAACGCGCTCATGGCGAGCGTCGGCGACGACGCGTCCGCGCTCGGCGGCGCTCGGCGACGTTTGGAGCGCGTCGCGAACAAAAAGGCGAAACCGCACGCGGCGCCTCTGCCGAAAATCGTCAGCGCGCGTCTCGAGAGGAAGGCTGCGTACGAGGCGACCGGCGAGGCCATCACGAAGTGGCAGCCGCTCGTGAAGGAGAACAGAGAGAAGCCGACGCTGAAGTTCACGGACGAGGAGCGGAACAAGATGAACCGGAAGAAGTCGCTCGCGGCGTTGAACTCGGATTTCGTCCCAACCACGGATTTCGAGACGGAGCTGATGAAAAAGCTCGAGGAGGCGAACATGGCGACCGGGAAGGACGTCGAGCGCGCGGAGGACCTCGCGATGAACCACCTGAGCGTCGAGGAGGTGAAAGAGCGCCGCGCGCGCCTCGCGAAGATGCGCAACTTGCTGTTCAAGCACGAGCTCAAGGCGAAACGCGTCAAGGCTATCAAGTCGAAGACATTTCATCGGCACAACCGCAAGACGGGCGCCGCGGTGAAGATGATCGACGGCGAGGAAGTCCACGACGACGACGCCGCGCTCGAGGGGCTGGGTGACGACGCGGACGACAGCGCGGAGGCGCGGCGGGAGTACCTGCGCGCGCAGGAGCGGATGCTCTTGAAGCACAAAAACACGAGTCGATGGGCGAAGCGCGCGATTAAAAAAGGACTCGCGCATCTCCCCGGGACGAAAGAAGCGATCGCGGAGCAGCTGAGGATCGGCCAGGAGCTCAAGAGGAAGATTGGCATCGGCGGCGAGCGACGCGGCGGCGGCGGCGACGACGGCGACGACGACGACGGATACTACAGCACCGACGCCAGCGACGACTCCGAAGACGACCGAAAAGACGACGGCCTCAGCGCCGACCCCGCGGAGCGGCGCAGACAGCTCGCGAAAGCGAAGGCGCAGACGTTGAAAGCGCTTCAAGACGGCGTGGGCACGATGGAGGAGGCGGCGAACAAGGGCGGTCTGTTCGCGCTGCCGTTCATGGCGCGAGCGATGAAGAAGAGGAGAGAAGCCGCGGAGGCTGAGGCGAAGCAGCTGCTCGAGGACATCGAACGCGCCGACGCGGAAGCCGCGAGCGGCGCCGCGGACGCCGGCGTCGACGGCGACGGAAACGGCTGGGGACCGACCGCCGCGACGTTCGAGGAGGAGGAGGAAAACGCAAACGCGGGGGGTATGCAGGGCGGGCGGTTCAAGTTCACCGCCGGGAAGGGCGCGGCGCGCGGCTCGAAGAAGCCCAACAAGGTGGACGTGAAGGCGCTTAGGGGCGCGGACGCCGCGGACGGCGAGGGCGCGTCGGACGACGACGACGACGACGACGACGACGATAAAGATAAAGATAAAGATACGTCCGCCGCCGCCGCCGCCGCCGCGTCGGGCGTCAAGAAGCCGCGTGGAGCGAACAGAGCCGCCGCGCGCGCGGCCGCGTTCTCGGCCAAGGGCGCGAGCGTCGTCGCCGCCGTCGCGCCGTCGAAGACGACGACGTCGAACGGCGGCGTCGTCGCGCCCGTCAACTCGGCCAAGGCGCGCGCGGCGGCGCGAGCGAAGGGCGCCGCCGGCGTGCTCATACCGGACCACGTCTTTAAGAAGGACGGCGACGACGACGGCGACGACGACGACGACGACGCGAGGCCGAATCCAAATCCAAATCCGAATTCGAATTCCAATCCGAATCCGGGTGCTGACGTGGACCAATCAGACGCCGACGTCGTGACCGAGGACCAATCAGATCTCCTGCGGCGCGCCTTCGCCTCCGACGACGTCGTCGCCGCGTTCGAGACGGAGAAAGCCGCGGAGGTGGAGGGCGAGCTGCCGAACGTCGATACCCCGAAGCAGATGCCGGGCTGGGGCGGGTGGGCGGACGATCAGGCGAGACGCGGGCCGCCGAAGTGGCAGCTGGACGCGGAGAAGAAGGCGGCGAAGGTGGGACGCGTCCGAACCCCGTTCCGTTCCGTTCTCCCCCGACTGCTTTCCGGACGCGGAGCCGCCCGTTCTCGCGTCGGACGCCGACGAAAGAAACGTCCACGTCATCAAATCATCAAACCACTAACCAATCACATCACTTCCCGCCAAATCATCCACCAATCCAATCCACACTCGAATAAATAACAGGAAAAGTTGAAAGCGGCCAAGGCGCGCAGGGACGCGAGCCTCAAGCACGTCGTCATCAGCGAAAAGTACGACAAAAAAGCAGCCGCGCTAAACGTCGAGACGCTCCCTCACGGATACGACAGCAAGGAAGTGTACGAGGGCGCGATGCGGACGCCGCTGGGGCCGGACGTGAACACGGACAAGAGCTTCAGGGACCTGACGCGGCCGAAGATACTGAAGAACGCGGGCGCGGTGATCAAGCCGATGAAATTTCCAAAGGGGCGGCGGCCGACCGCCGCGGAGGCGAAGAGGAAGTGATCGAATGAATCTGTGAAACGTGACGACGCGAGCGCGACGACGAGGGCGGCGCGCGCGTGGTGTTGGCGTTTAGGTGTTGACTGCGCGTGGCGACGCGCGTTCGTTCGTTCGTTCGTTCGTTGTGATGATAGTAACGCTCTAGATGCGACCGTTCCGTTCGTTCGTTCGTTCGTTCGCGCGCCGCCGCCGGCGGAGAGAGAAATGCTGACTCGGCCGAATGTTCGGACGAGAAAAAAAAGATTCTTTCCCGTCCTTTCGTTCACGCGTGTCCGAGCCGCGACCCGCCCACAGCCATGCGCACCCTCGCGCTCGCGTGCGCGCTCGCGTGCGCCGCGCTCGTCGCGGCGGACGACGTCGCGTTCGCGCCCTCCCCGTCAACCCCGTCCTCCTCCTCCTCCGATGCCGACGCCGCGCCCGCCGCGTTCGTCGCTCGCCCCGCGTGCAAGGTCACGGAGAGCCCTCGCATCGAGAACGACGATATCGCGCGCGCGCGTCTCTGGGGCGACGCGCCCACGAACGACGCCCTCCGAGCGTTCATCGAGAAGAACGAATGGCCGGACGTCTACGTCGACGTCCCGCCGAACGCGGGTGATGAGAAGGAAAAGAGGGGCGGCGACGCCGCCGCCGCCGCCGCCGGCGCCTCTCCGATCGCGGCGGACGACGACGAGGGAGCGACGATCTCGCTCGGGGGCGCCTCGCCGCTCGCGGAATCCGCGTCGCGATCAGACGACGACGACGACGACGACGACGACGACGAAGCGCCGTACGTCACCGCGGGTCGCAGAGCGCTGACGTCCCCGAGCATGTTCGCCATCACGTCGCCGCTCCTGACGCCCGAGCTCGCGGACCCCCTGCGCGACTGGGTCTTCAAGGCGGCCGCGGCGCACGACGGCTACGGCGACCTGGAAGGGAAAGGGTGCGTCGGGTTTTTGGCGCGGTGCGAAGAACGGTTCGACATGGCGATTCGGTTCACCCCGGAGGTGACCGCCGCGGTCAACGCGGTCGTCGCGAAGTTGGGGCCGATATGGGCCGCGGAGCTCGGCGACGACGCGGAGCTCGTCGAGCTGTCCGCGTTGATGGTGAGCGATACGACGCGACGAGGAAAACGCTCGCTTTCCGCCCCGTTCGTTCGTTATCCACCGCGCGATATGCCACGTCATCCATCGAATCGTAAATAACACGCGCTGACCACTCAATCCTATCCTTCTCATCCCCCCCGAACCAAACCGTACCGAACCCGCGCCCGACAGACGTGCGACGGGAGCCCGGACCAGGCGGTGCACCGCGACGGCACCGGCCGCCGTCCGGGCGACAAGGCGCGTTCTGTACACTGGTTCCCATACGACCGCGTCGGCGTGGTGAACGCCGATCCTTAAGGACTTTTCCCGTCTCTTCTCTCCGCCCACGCCTCGCGTTCATTCCCCGCCCTCGACGCCTTTCAACTCCGCTTCTGACGCCTTTGAACTCCACCCCGACGTCGCTTTGAACGATGGAACGGCCCTCGTCAGCTCATCTCTTCGTTCACCGCGCTTCAAGACACGACGACGAGCCACGGTCCGACGGAGCTCTTCTTCGGCGAGGACGTCGCGAGCGATCACGTGAAAGAGATCATCGAGGGCGCGCGGGAGGCGCTGCGAGCGGGCGGCGAGCGCGCGAGGCTGGCGGCGCCGGCGAAGGAGCTGTTCGACGCGCACGAGGCGCGCGTCGAGAGCGACGCGAATGTAAAAAGCGCGACCGAACCCAAAAAAGCTCGTATGAGCAAACAGTCTCCTCCTCTCTCCCAGGAAGACCTCGACGACATGCTTCGCGGCGCGATGCAGGACCTTCTGATACAGAAGCACACGTTCCGGAGTAAGAAGACGAACGCGGTGTACTTTAGGGTGCCGTGGGACGAGGACCCGGAGAAGAAGTACATGTTCGGCGCGGCGGCGTCGATGCGTCAGGTGCGTTCTGATTCACACTGGTCCCCATACGACCGCGTCGGCGTAGTGAACGCCGATCCTTAAGGACTTTTGTTTCGTGCGCGGTTTGGTTTTATTCGCGCCGGTCCCCGTGCTACATACGACCGCGTCGGCGCGGCGCGCGCCGTTTCTCCTCGACGGGGCGCTCTTCCGCGCGCTGTCACCACACAACCTCGCGCACGCACGTTTTGACACGCACGCGGTAATGGCATCCACCAATCACGCGTCCGCACGACTGACACGTGTCTTCCCTCGGCCAATCAAAACGTCAGGGCTCCGCGGTTGTGTACGACTCCAGGGCGTTGCACCGCGGCAGCGCCAACTCGCGCGGCTCGAGGATTTTACTCCTCGTGTCGTTCCAAACCCCCGGCGCGGTGATCACGGGCCCGACGTACACGATCTCGCCCAAATACTCCGAGGTTGAGCGCGCGGTGATCGCGAAGGATGAGGACGCGGACGCGTCGTACGAAGACCCCGACCCGGATTTCGCGCCGCGAGAGTCGGCGTTGCACGCGAACGTTCGGAACCCGCTGACCGCGGCGGTTTCGGCGGTGATGCCCGGAAACCTCGTGAAAGACCCCGCGGCGAAGCGATTGGAGGAGATCGAGAAGCGCCGAGAGGTGTGGCACGTGCGACGGATGAAGGGACTGCTGACGTTGAAGGATTTTCCGATGACGCCCGATCACGCGGCGGACGACTTTTCGTTCGTGAAGGAGGTGCGTTCGCGTTCACCCGTCGCTTAGTTTCAACGTTCGATACTAGTTCCAACGTTCGATCGCGTCCCCTTTCAACTGACCGATGAGGACCGCGCCTGCCTCACAGGACCGCGAGGCGATGTGGGCGCGGATGGCGGAGAAGAAGGACTGGGAGGACGAAGAGGTGGTGCGAAGGCGAGGGCAGAGCGTGGAGAAGTTTGTCAAGTGGCGCGCGAAACAGCGCGCCAAGGGGATCGACGTTCGACGGTGACGAGCGGAGTCATCGGGTCAGTCCCCGCAGCGTATCGATGCGTAAAGCACGCGGCGGCGGCGGCGGCGGCGCGCGCGGCTGCGCGCGAGCACGTGTATATATATCGTATTATGATAAGTTATCGATGAGCCCACCGCGTATGCGTCGAGAAGAACGCAACGCTCTCTGTGAAGTCCGACCCGCGAGACCGTCGTCTCGTCGTCGAAACAAATCAATCTCGACGAGATTTCTCCTTTTGCGCGGAGTCTCGCGCCATGGCCTCTCGCACGTCGTCCCAGCTCTTGCTCGCTTTCTTCATCTCTTTCGACGCGCTCACCGCGGTCGACCCGAACAGCGCGTCGCCGATGAAGGTGATGCCCTCGAGCATGTGAAGGAACCCGAACGGACCGATGACGTCGAACGCGATCCCTCGGTACTGCGGGCGGTTCCGTCGCGGCGACGTCGGGGCGGAGTCGAAAGACGTCAGAAGCGGATGGATGACGCGTTGAAAGGCGTCGAGGCGCGTGCGTCGAAAAAGAAACCGTGGTGTGGGCGGATAGTAACACACGCCGGGACGACAGAAAGTCCTTAAGGAATGAAGTTCACAACGCGAACGCGGTCGTATGGAAACCAGTGTGATGACATGACGAAAGTAGAACGCGCCTGCGTGACGACCCACGCGAGGAGTACGTCCACCGCTCCAAACACGAGGAACTGCTTCTTCCGCAGCGCGAGGCCGCCGATGGTCCTTCGGTTCCCGAACACGCACAGGACTTTCTGCGCCGCCGTCGCGAGCATGAAGACGCCGAAGAGCTGGAACACGAACGCGGTCCGCGCGTGCTCGTCCGACGACGGCGCCTTGAGGGTCGTTCTATACGAGCGATGATATCGGGGTGGAGTTGAAAGGCGTCAGTTGGCGTTGAAAGGCGTCGAGGTGTGTCGGGATTGAAAGCGAGGCGTGGGGGGAGAGAGACGACGGCAAAAGTCCTTAAGGATCGGCGTTCACCACGCCGACGCGGTCGTATGGGAACCAGTGTATAGAACGCACTTGAGCCTCGCGGGGAAGAAGTGGGCGATGAACTGATCGATCGAGCGCGGGAAGCGAACCGCGCGAAGCGACGTCGGGGTGGAGTTGAAAGGCGCGTCAGGGGTGGAGTTGAAACGCGTCGCGGTGCGTCATGATTGAAACCGAGGGGCTGGCGCAGAGAGACGACGGATGGAGGAAAAGTCCTTAAGGAACGGCGTCCACTACGCGGACGGGGTCGTATGGGAACCGGTGTAATCCGAAGAACGCGCCTTGTCGTCGTCCGGGATGAACGGCAGCGGCGTCGCCGGGAAGAAGACGTTGCGGACGCCGCACGCGACCACGACCGCGTTCACGAGCGCGCACAGGACCTTGAGGCGCAGAGGGGGGGTGGGCATCGCGATGAGAGCGGAGTGGACGGACGGCACGTCGCGCGGGGCGCCGCGACGACGCGGAGTGATGACTACCGATCGATCGGAGACGGGAAGTTTTTTGTTCTCGGCAGCAGAACGAAAAATCGTCGTTGTTAAGTTCTTCGTGGATAGGGTTCGCGCGCGACGCGCCACTCTCGACGCGCGCCGACGCCGCCGCTGCCGCCGCGATACGACCGTCATGCTCGAGCTCGCGCTCGGCGTCGCGCTCTGGGCGGCGCCGCCTCCGATCAAGTTCCCTGGCCTCGCCGTCGTCGGCGCGGCGAAAGCAGCCATCTCGGCGCGTCGACGCGCGCGCGGCCGGTCGGGAGGAGCCTCCAATGATTCCTCGTCGTCCTCCGCGCGCGGTCCGCGCTCGAGAGACGTCGCGCTGCGATGGGATTCGCTCACGATGACGATATCGCCGAAGAAGCGAAAGAAGAAAGGGACCAAGGACATCGAAGGGTTGATCGTCTCACCGAAGAAGATATTGGACCGCGTCAGCGGCGCGGCGTCCCCGGGACGTCTGATGGCCATCATGGGTCCGTCCGGGAGCGGCAAGACGTCCTTACTCAACGCGCTCGCGTTGCAAACCCCCGCGAGCGATCGCGTTCGGCTTAGCGGCTCGCTCGCCGTCAACGGGCTCGACGTCGGCCGCGAAGGCTCATCAGACGCCGAGCACGCGGTGGCCTACGTGCAACAGGAGGACGTCTTTTACTCGCAACTGACCGTGTACGAGACCCTCGAGACCGCCGCGAGGTTGCGGATGGGCGCGGGCGCGACGCGCGAGACGCGCGAGTTGGCGATAACGGCTCTGCTTCGACGGTTAGGGTTGACGCACGCGAGAGATACGCGCGTCGGGGATAAGAAGACGCGCGGTATCAGCGGCGGCGAGAAGAAACGCTTAGCGCTCGCGTGCGAACTCGTCGGGGAGAGCCCAGCGGTGGTCGCCGCGGACGAGCCCACGAGCGGCCTCGACGCGTTCCAAGCGCAGCGCGTCATGGAGTCGTTGCGGGCGCTGGCGAGGGACGAGCGGAAGACGGTGATATGCTCGATTCATCAGCCTCGAGGTGCGCGAGTACTGTACAGTAGTCCGACGAGACGAGACGACCGACGAGAGAGAGTCCGCTTTCCGTCGCCGTTCGTTTCTCGTCGTTCATCGCGAGCGAGGTTTTTTCTTTTCTTTTGATTTTCTTTTATTTTTCTCTCCGCTTACGCTTCTTCGCCCGCCCGCCCGCCCCCAGGTTCCATCGTCGCGCTGTTCGACGACATCTGCCTCATGGCCGGCGGCGAGGTCGTGTACGTCGGCGCGATGAAAGACGCGGCGTCGTGGTTTCAATCCCAGGGTCACCCCGTCCCCCCCGGGGTCAACCCAGCGGAGTTTCTCATCGACCTGGTTTCAATCGACGCCACCGACGCGGAGAGCGAGACGCGGTCGATGAAGCGTCTGAAGTCGCTCGTGGACGCGTGGCGGAGCGAAGGCGCCGCGCGGGCGGCCAAGAAGAAGACCGCCGCTGATGGCTCTACTGTTACGAATCCGGATGAAACGGCGGGTGCTGGAGCGTTACAATCATCGGTACAATCATCGGTCGCGGCGGCAGGCGGCGGCCCCGGCGGTTTCTTCTCGCAGTTCGCGCTCCTGCTCCGACGCTCGTGGCGGCAAGTCCGCCGCGACAGAGCGACGAACGGCGTCCGCCTCGCGACGTCCCTCAACTCCGCGCTCGTGTTTGGCAGCATCTTCTGGAGGATGGGGACGAAGCAGAGCAGCATCCAAGACCGGTTAGGTGCGTTCTATCTCACACTGGTCCCCATACGACCCCGCACGCGTCGTGAACGCCGTTCCTTAAGGACTTTATTTCCCGTCGTCTCTCTCCGCCCACAGGGTTGTTACAAGTCAGCGCGATAAACGCGGCGATGGCGGCGTTGATGAAGACGCTCACCGCGTTTACCAAGGTACAAAAAAATATTACGTTCTGACTGCGTCCCATACGACCGCGTTCGTGCGGTGAACGCCGTTCCTTAATGAGGACTTTGGTCTCGGTCTCACGTCTCGCCGACCCTTTCGCCGACCCTATCGACGTCCGTTTCCCCCGCGCCCGCCGCGCGCAGGAAAAAGTCATCGTGAACCGCGAGCGCGCGTCCGGGGCGTACGGCATGTTCCCGTACCTCCTCGCGAAGCTCGCCGCTGAGCTCCCGGTCGGCGCGTTCTTCCCGCTCGCGTTCGGCGCGGTAGTGTACCCGATGGCGGGGCTGCACCCCGGGTTGGGTCGGTTTTCGAAATTCTGCGGCTTGATCACGCTCGAGTCCTTCTCCTCCGCCGCCGTCGGGCTGGCTGTCAGCGCGGTGGCGCCGTCCACGGAAGCCGCCGTCGCCATGGGCCCCGCGGTGATGGTTCTCTTCATCGTCTTCGGCGGGTACTACGTCAACGCGGAGAACGTCCCGAGGGCGTTCAGGTGGATCAACGGTTGCTCGTTGATAAAGTGGGCGTTCCAAGGGCTCTGCATAAACGAGTTCGACGGCTTGGAGTTCGCGCCGAGCGAGGCGAAGACCGCGCTCGGCGGCGCCGGCGGCGGCAAACGCGGCGGCGCCCCTCCGCCGGGCCGGTCCTCCGATCAGCGCACCGGCGAGGACGTCCTCGCGCGTCTGTCGTTCGCCGCCGCGGACGGCTGCAGCGTCGGCAGCGCGGCACGCGCTCAGGTCAACGTGATGTCGTTCTGTTACCTCCTCACATTGCACCTGTTGGAGAAGACGGCACCGAAGTTCGCGCGCATCGAGGAGATCTGATGGGAGGATAACGGACCCGGGGGAGGCGTTACGGATATCCTATAGTGGATCCGATGAGAGCGTCCGGGGCCGACGCGACGCGTTCCGCGCGCGCGCTCATGAGATACGAATACACGACCGTTCGATACGATATGAACCTACTGTGCCCTACCCAATCACGTCACGACACGTCATATGCCACGTCACGTCAGTACGCCCCCGTCGCCAACATCTCCGCCATCATCCGCTCGTGCTCGAGCCCGCGGAGGTACCATCCGCCGATCCCGACGCCGAAGGTCAACGCGACGACGGTGCCAAACGCGAGCAACGCCGCGACGTCGCCGTACACCGCCGCGCGGTCGCCCTCGTCCTCTAACCCGTCCACGTCGAACTGGCCCATCCCGGGGACGTCGCGCCAGCGTATAGAGTCCTCCACGCGAAACTCCCAGGTTTCGACGGACGTGTTCGGCGGCTTCCGAGCGTCGAGAAATTCGAGCAGGTCCCTCGCGACGCGTTTGTTTCGGACGACGCCTGGGGTGTTCACGCACCCCACGAGCTCGATCGTCTCCACGTGGCGCGCGAGCGCTACTGTTTTGTTTGCTGACGGGGGAGCCTCTGGATTCGACACGTCATCACCAGAATCCACCTCGACGAATCGCAGACGCGCGTTGCCCTTGACGCGCGCCGCCGGCAGCCGCATGACGCCCGTCGTCGCGGCGCCGTAAAACAGCATCCACAACCCTCTCCACGAGAACCGCGCGAGCTCGCCCATCCTGTCCAGGACGTCGTACGTCTCCACGCGCACGCCAACCCACGCGTCGCCAATCTCCCACACCCACTTTAGCTTCCGCGGGATGAACGCCACCTCCCACTGGACCGTCGCTTCCGACGGCGACACGATCGACGCGCGCGTCACGCGGCGACTCGCCTCGAACAGCTCGTCGTCTTCGACGCGCGGGAAGCGCCGCGCGATCGCGGCGTACGCCTTCGCGCCGTCGCAGGAGAAGAGCGCGTCGCCGTCGGGCGCGATGCCGGGCTCGAGCGCGTACGCGACGTCCGGCGCTATGGTCACGCCCGGAGGCATCGACGACGACGACGACGACGACGACGACGACGCGCGCGGGAGCGCGCCGAGGGCGAACGGTGTCCCCGCGGCGACGATCGCCGCGAGCGCGTCCGCGAGGGCGTCGGAGGACGAGTCGGAGGGAGGGGACGGCGGCGGCGGC